AGCGAGAAGGTCTCCCCTCAGCCTCCTTTTCTCCAGGCTAAACAACCCCAGCTCCCTCAGCCGCTCCTCATAAGACTTGTGCTCTGGACCCTTCACCAGCTTCCTTGCCCTCCTCTGGCCACGCTCCAGCACCTCAATGGCTTTCTTGTAGTGAGGGGCCCAGAACTGAACACAGGATTTGAGGTGCGGCCTCACCAGGGCCAAGTACAGGGGGACGATCACTGCCCTAGTCCTGCTGGCCACACTGTTTCTGATACAAGCCAGGCTGCTATTGGCCTTCTTGGCCACCTGGGCACGCTGGCGGCTGATATTGAGCCGGGTGTCAACCAGCGCCCCCAGGTCCTTTTCCCCCAGGCAGCTTTCCAGCCACAAAGTTGCCTCTATGTCTTCAAATGCAATTTCAACCATTTCGGGACGTCATTCCCATTCTCAGCAACACGAGACAGCAGACACTGACTTGCAGCTTTGTCCCGCTCTCTAGGCTCAAACCAATGGAGTTCTGAAACTTGCAGACTTCCCAACAAAAAGCATAAATAGAAACATGCAGCCCTGGGTTTTGCCTCAGAAAAAGGATTCAGAGCATCACGGTTTGTTTCTTTTGCCACACGTGAGAGTAGCAGCCCCACTCAGACTCAGGGACAACACAGTCGTCTCTTTGCAGCTCATCAAAAGCCAAAAAAGAGGCCAACACAGAGAGGTGGATTAAAAGAATCTGTAGAAGCAGAGAACAACTCGGAGAATTGCAGAACAGCTCTGCAAGCCATCAACACGTTTCCAAAAAGAAGTAAACTAAGCCTTCTGACCTCCAGCACTACCAAGGGTCTCCTTGACAAAAGCACTGCAGGATCCAACAGGTAAGAGCTTCACTGAGCCAAGCAGCCAAATGCCCACCCAGAAGCACCAGGTTTTTGGTCTCACCTGACTGAGTTTCTCTTGGGTTTCTTCCTTCTCCTCTGCCAGTATCGTCAGCTCTACCCGCAGCCCCTCCTGTTGCTCCTCTGCTTTCTTCAGCAGCTGCTCCAGGTGGGCTTTCTCTGCGCAGAGCTCTTCATTTGTTCTTTCACACAAGTTCAGCTTCTCCTGGTCACAGATCTTTGCTCTCTCCATCTCGTCCACTTTACCCGACAGAACTTCATTCTCTTGCTCCAGCTGCAATCACGGAAGCACAGAGGAAGGAAAAGACAGTAAGATTTACCCTGTAGGAGGTTTGCCTTGGACGGAAAAAGGAACAACGTTTCCATATTCAGTCAGCCATGCTGCCGGAAGGCAAGAAGTCTGAGAAGAAGCAGCAGCTGGAGACAAACACCTGGCAAGACCTTTGGCAACTCTGCTCACCTGCAGCACAAGTTTGTTCAGTTGCACTTTATCCAATGCGAGGGCTTCGTTGATGCTGCCCACGTTCGCTGCTGCACCACGGAGATCAGCTATTTCAGCAGTCAGCTTATTCTGAGCCCCCGTCAACTCTGCTACCGACTGCTCTGCCTGAAGAGACAAAAGAACAACGTGACAACAAAGGCAGGAAAATCCCTGACTTCAAGCAGCAACTCCACATCCCCTGCGTGTCTCTGACATACTCCCAGTTCAGCGCTCCCAGTAAGCACGTGGGGACTGACCACCCCAAAGAGCCTGCGTGGTCTGACCACCATTTTCCAAGGAGAACAACATTTTCCCCGTCTTCTGCTGCCAGCAACAGCAGCTGCGCTGGTCTTGCTATCACAACTCCCTCTCCCACAAGTGCCACCCAGGAATAAGGTGACCATACCTTCTCCAGTGCCGTGGAAAGCTCCTGTTTCTCTTGCTCCAGCAGATCCCTCTGAAGGTGCGATTCCTCCAGCGCCTCTCTCGCGACTACCAACTCGCTCTGTAACAATGAATGTTTTCCTTCCAGTGCAGCCAAGTCCTTCAGTCTACGAGAAGGGGAAAGACAAACAAGTTTTTAATGTAAAAACATTCTCATTTCCAAAACCAAGGGCCCGTACTGTGTCCCAGATACGGCAGTTTGAATGGTTCACAACAGCTTTCTATTGACACCTAAAGAACGCCGGCATTTCCTGACTAGAGCTGCATCGCTCTTGGTCATTGATGTAGGTGCAACGTGCGTCACTGAGGAAGCAGAACAAGCTTCCAGAAATCACAGAACGTTTCCAAAAAGTTCAGGTACTCTCAACTTAACAGAACTTCCTGCCGGTTAGTTCTCTCTCTCCTTTTTGATACACTCGATACAAGACTTTCCAAAGTTCTTCTTTGGGTAAGGCAGACTTTTTAAGTCCAGATAAACGTTCCCGCAATTACTCTTGCCTTCGGCAGGGAAACGATGAAAGAGCCTGCAGTCTGTTTGGGGAGGAGATGTGTATGAATTTCCAATCCCATAACGACAGGATCACAGGACGATTCAGGCTGGCAAGGACCCCAGCAGGCCTCTAGCCCAATCTCTTTGGCTCAAAGCAGCTGGGGTCAGCTCTGGGATCAGTCTGGGTTGCTCAAGGCTCTAGCCGGTTGGGTCGTCCGGATCTCCAGGGATGGAATCCGCACCACCTCTCTGAGCAACCTGTTCTGCTGCGTGACTGCCTTCACGGTTCAATTTTTTGTTCTCCTTAAATCCAGTCTGAACCTCTCTGGTTTCAGCTTATGCCTGTCCTCAACTACTCCGGTCAGGTAGGATTTGGAATGATTTTTTAAAAGGGTCGTAAAGAAAGTACAAGCAGGCAGCTATGCTGTACGTTAGTAGGTAGCCAGACCTGCCCGCGTGCTCCCTTCACCCTTCTGTGCTACGAACGACGAGCATGCAAAATTCATTCTTTTACGGCGGGCCTCCTGAAGTCCACCCATGCCCACCCCTGCCCAGAGGAAGCTTTAACACTCACAGGAGCTCCTGGTCACGACGCGCTCTCTCCATCGTCTGTTGCTGCTCCGCCTTTTCCCCCTGGGCTGAATCTTCCTTCAGCTGCAATTCAGCGTTACTTTGACGCAGACGCGAGGCTTCTTGCTCCGTTACTTCAAGCTGTTGCTGTAGCTCTTCCCTGGTTTTCTCGAGGTTTGCACAGTCACTGCAGAGACAAAGCTCGGTCAGAAGAATGAAGAGGCCTGAAGAGTCACGGATCCCATTCTCATCATTCCAGGGTGGAGTTGTGGGGAGCACGGTAAGGAAGAACTTGCTCTTGCCCTCACAAGGAAACTGAAGAGGGAAAGAGCACGGTCAGAAGAATGAAGAGGCCTGAAGAGTCACGGATCCCATTCTCATCATTCCAGGGTGGAGTTGTGGGGAGCACGGTAAGGAAGAACTTGCTCTTGCCCTCACAAGGAAACTGAAGCGGGAAAGAGAAAGGAAGGCGGGCTTTTGCCTTCATTCGGTGAGAAGCAGTGGCTAGGACAGGGCACCCAAAGAACAGAATTCAGAGAAGCAGCACGTCAAGAGGGAGGCGCCTTGTATCCCAACCTCACGCTGAGTCTGCAAGACAGCCTTAGGATTCACAGCAGAGCACGAAAAGCAGGGACAGGAGGATGCTAAAGTGCCAAACGGAGGCATACGCGTGGTAGGGCAGGCGAGTTCTTTGCCCGTAACACCTCTGAAGTCCCGGAACTGGAAGCAGATTGCCTCTAGAAGGCAGGAGAAGGAGGAAACACTCACCTTCTGAGTGCTTCTACCAGAGACCGGAGGTGCTGCAGGTGGCTGCTGGATGTCTTGCATTCCTCCTCCAGTTGCTCGAGCCTTTGCTGCAGGTTCCTGCACTTCTCTTCCTGCTGCCTGTGCTGGTGCTGCAGGAAATGGATGGAGTCCTGCCTGGCAGAAAGCTCTTCTCTTAGGGCCTGCAAGGAATGGGCAGGGGAAGAGCACAAACAAGCAGTAAGGAGCAGGGAAGATGGCTCCAGGTAGCTGGGAGAAGAAACAAGCAGCGACACAGCTCACCTGAAGGCAAAAGCTGTGATGAGGGGGTGGAGATCAAGGAGAGGAAAGCAGAAGAACACAGAGCTGGTGAGACTGGCAAGGCAATACGGTACCAAGAGTGGGAACGCTTGAAAGAAACTGGCTAAACAGGCTAAAGTGAATGGAAGGGTTTCAAGCTAAGTGAGGCATTAGCAGCTGAGCCTGTGGCCAGTGGTGAAGACAAGCAGAAATTCTCACCTGTGTTGCTCCTCGCCTCCTTGCCAGTGCTTCCTGAACCACTACAAAGGCATGCTCTGCATCAAGGGAGCTCAGACAAGAGAGGATGTTGCTAGACTCTGCGTGCCGGGAACTGTCAGTGCAGATAATGCTGACCGTGCTGGCACTGTCATCTAACACCACCTGAAAGCCCACATCAAGCTGTTACTCTTTGCTCCTTCTACTTGGTTTTCTTCATCTATTCCTCCTTTTTCCCCCACTTCACCCTAGAGTCATTAAAAGCTCATTTCCTCAGTCAACAAAGAAGTTTTGTCCCTGTGGCCGCAGGTGCTCCAGGGGTTTCTGAGTACAGCTACTATAAACACGAAGAGACAAGTGGGAAGGGGCTGGAGGCTGCCTGATCGCTCCATTTCTTGAAGCTCTCAGGAATGACTTTGGTCTCCTTCAGCTTTTTAGAGCCACATACACGAGCACCAGATCGACACTGGAAATAGCAATGAAAGGAAACATTAACGCTGCCCAGGGAAGAAGGAAGCTGATGAATACTGGAAAACAGCAATGAAAAAGCTGATGTTTATAATGACTCTGAGCAGTAGCACAAGAGGATAAAAATGACTACCTAAGGGGAAAGAACTGACTTTGTGAGAGGCTGTGTAAAAAATCTGATGATTAAACCGCCCCTCCCCAGAGTGAAGTGTAGGACTAAGTTAAAGTTTCCCCCTAAACAGTTAGACCAGTTGCGATTCTGGGCAGATAATAATGGTCAGTGAATGCAGAGTGAAGGAGCAGAGTTGGCAAGTGCGCTGACTCAGTCATCACTCTTTCTCTTGAGGTAGCCACACCTCTTTGTGAGTCGGTGACCTTTTATAAAAATCTGAAGAACAACAGAGTCATTGTTCAAGGAGGGTGGGGGCAGCCTGCAAGCAACACTGGAATACAAATGTCAAGTAGGCAGCTCAGAAAGCACAGTCCAAGAGAGACCTTAGCCGGACGGTGAAGGCGAATGTATTGAAACTTCTAGAGACTCGCTGAAGTGTCACACGGCAGCCAACTTGGAAGTTATAACAGGTTTTATGTCAGAAAAGTGGTATAAAAATTAAACAGCCAGTAGCATTTAACAGAGACAGTCTACAACATACATCTCTGTTTCCTGGGCTAGTCTGTTGCCTTCCACAAGTACTTTTAAATCAAAATTACAGGGGTGTGGTCCCAACTCTGTACTCACCTCGGTTATATCTTTTATCAGCTTTTGGAGAGAAACATTCTCTTCTTTGGCACTTTTAGTCAGCGAAGCTTCATATTCTTTCTCTAACCAACTTGCTTCCTGAGAACAGAATAAGAAAAAGGTGGGCAGTGAAGAGCTGCTCCCCTCTGTAGCGTTCCCATCCTCAGTAGCATTGTCATGCCGATAAGCCTCAGCCCTAGAGATTCCAGTATATTCCTTCCCAGTTCTGTTCAATTTCTCCTCTGCTAAAACTAAGAGGAGAAAGACGAATAGCTACTTTTTACAGACTGCTATGAAGCTGTCAGTTCCAAGGAACTTTGATCCCTAGAGACTTAAAGCCACAGGCAAAATAGCATTGGTGCAACCCCCCTCAGGAAGACCCCTCAGTTGTCTGCAGCTCCCCTGCCACTGCCTGAACCTGGGCGGACTCCACGTGTGCCAAACACACAAGGAGTATTTTGGCAATGTGCCTGATGTTAGTTAGACAGTTAGCATCTTTACCACTCTTTCTCTTGAGGTAGCCACACCTCTTTGTGCTAAGGCTGCAGAGCAAACACTGGGCTATCTCCCAGATAAAGGTAAAACATACTAGAATCTCCACAGTGTCATTAAGTGCTTTCATGGTCTTCTCCTTCTCCTCGTTCTGCTTCTGAGACTGTGCAAGCAAGGCTGAGAGCTCCATCACCCTGAGAAGAGAAGGTCCACGTGCCATTCCAAAAGCATTGCACACCGTCACCTGTCAAAGAGCTAAGCAGCTCCCAGAAGCATAGCAGAGAAAGTCCAACCCAGAAAATACAGCAAAGGCAGCGTTCATCTCTACAGCTTAATATGCTTGATGTTGCAAAATGGCACTTCTTGCCCCAAAGGCCGCCTGCACTCAGTCTAGCAAGGAACTGTCAGTACAGAGGTGCTGCATTGCTTACGATGGCCCTGGGCTAATTCCTCCCAACTCCCTTTAGCACAGCCCTGGGTGGCAAAAGGGCTGTACAAGAGACACAGCTCTCTTTATACTGGTCTCAGTTTCTTACCAACAATCAGTTAACGGCAAAAGCATTGTAATACGCAATCTCTTTTCTTTCTTGTCTTACTCAGAAGAGCTTCTCTCAGTCAGACAGTTTTTTTCTGTCCTTTCTGTTGAAGGCAATAGTTTGACTAGAGACAGAAACAAGGCTGCGCAGAATGGGTCTGTTTTTTAAATGTGAACACAGCCCACCTATGAATCAGCGAAGATGATGTTGTTAATAGCAAGGTTTAAAACACCTTTACCTGTCTTGAAGCTCCTTCTTCTCCAGGTCCCCCTTGACTTGTAAGCACATCACTTCCTGCGTCGTCTGGCTTATTTCGTGTTCCGCTTGCTGCTGGGCCTCATCCTTCGGGACAGGTCTACCCAAAGTGATGCAATCCCAGCGCTGGACACCAGACTTTAGACGGGAGCAGTTCACAAGTACAGATCCAGAAAGCCTCATTTGCTCTGCCTTCAGCTCTGACAAATCTCTGAAGAAGAATAAAGAAAGAGCTGAAGTTCACACCACCATCTTTAGCAGCTGACACAATTCTGAAGCACGTCATTGCACAACAGTAGCAGCTGGCAGGAAAGACGGCCTCTTTGCCGTCTAAATGAGTCCATTTAGCTGACACTTTGGGATAAGGACACATCTTGACAGCTGAGCAATGACTCGACTGGATAATTAAAGAATCATTCTGTTCTTTTCTCAGAGACAAGAAGAAATGTATGGCACAGCCAAAAGGTGTCCAGGACCTCTAATTACTCTTATTAACTGTTGCTCCTGCTCCGTCTTCTTAGCATACTCTAATTATCATTAATAGATGTAAGGAATTTACCAAGGTACCCAGAGCAGCAACAGCTTTCATTGTAGGCCTCCCAAATTTCATTACGGTCTCTCACCCTATCCAAACTATTTAAGGCAGAGCCAAGCTCGAAAACTGCAAAAATCCACAATTTCTCCAACATTAAATATGTCAGGACCTAAAGCTGTTGCTTTTCCTCAACAATCCTTTCAGCCCCATTCACAACCCCACAAACACTGGTGCTCTCTCTTTCTAGAGCCTCCCTAAGTTCATTACAGTCTCTCTCCCTGGCCTGCCCCTTACAGCTAGAGCCCAGCTCTGAAATTGCGAACGTCCAGGTATTACTCTTAAAGCAAAGGTGCCAGGACCATAAGCTCTTGCTGCTCTTCAAGTAGCCAGGCAACCCCATTCACAGCCCCAAAAACGCTGGGGCTGTCTCTTTCTGGTCAGGCGTACTCTCACATGGTGGAAGGCTTATCAGCAAGTAAGATAAATGGCTGACAGTAACCCAGAGTTTGAAATTGCATGCTGACACCAGAAGAATGTACTCTTAAGGCTCCGCTATTTTTGTTTGTGTAGAAGGCAACGGTGAGAAAGAACCTCAGAGAGCCCAAGAACAAGAAAACAATTATAAAAACAGGTATCAAAACAAGCAAAATAAATCGGATAAATGCAGTAACAGGGTAGAGAAGCTATTTCTTCTCTCAACAATGATAGTACAGGAATAAGCGGATACACACTGACCAGAATAAATGTAAGCTGGAAACGAGAAGAAAAAAAAATATATATATATATTCATGAATGATCTTTCCATCGGAAGCAGTGGAAAAAGAAACTCAATGCGATTTATGGCAGATTTTCATCATTCTATGAAAGGGACTGCTCTACGTGCTGCATGCATAGCTTTGGTGAGTCTCTTCCAATGTGTCCATAGTTGCCTGTGTCTTTGTTAATACGCCCAAACATCACCACAGCCCAGTTATCTGTTCAGGGCCTCTGCATTGCTTATAGCCCAAGCCCCACAGTTTTATCTGAGAACCAGCATCAAACAAAAAGATTCTGAAAAGAGCCTGCTTAATGCTTAATGCCATTGCTTCAGACTGTCAAAGGAGAAATCACATCCCTAGCCGCAACTAACATAACACTGAGGCTCAAAAAGCAGGTGTGAAGGGAAGCGACATTTTTTTCTGCAAGAGATCTAGCCTTAACTTCTACTCACCGGTCAGTGGCAGTCTTCATTTCCAGGAAATGACGGGTGAGAAAGGAACCTCAGAGAGCCCAAGAACAAGAAAACAGACTGTCAAAGGAGAAATCACATCCCTAGCCGCAACTAACATAACACTGAGGCTCAAAAAGCAGGTGTGAAGGGAAGCGACATTTTTTTCTGCAAGAGATCTAGCCTTAACTTCTACTCACCGGTCAGTGGCAGTCTTCATTTCCAGGAAATGACGGCGGAAGGTTACCACCTGACGCCACAGGCTGAGCAGGCGGTTATGTTCACCCTTTAAGTAGTTTTCATAAAGCTAAACATGCAAAGACAAAAAGAAATGCCAATTCAGCCTTCACTGTCACTGTACGAGTCTTTCAGATAGGGGAACGTACAACCACCATCACCAGGTCTTCTTGAATAACTATTGCAACACGGGCATCAAGGACTGAAGAGGCACCAGAGAAGCATCCTCAGTAGACCTGCCGCCTGACTTCATGATTCGTCATCTCGCCTTGCAGAGGTGTCTAACAGTCTCGGTGGAGGAAGACAAAACCAAGCCCCTCCAAGACCGGTGTCAGATTTGCTTACAACAGGCTACTGGTAAGGGAGGCCTGTCTTGTTCTTCTGTTGACTACTCTCAACGTGAAAACACACAGACCTCTCTGGCCTCCCCTGCTCTAGACGGAGATTTAAGAACTATTAAAAAGATGAGCGGCCCTGTGTGACTGCCCTACAGTGCCCAGCAACAGCAAGCGTTTGCCTTTAGGAGCGAGCAGTATGGTCACAGCAGGTCGGCATCTTCCATCACCACAATTTCCTGACACTCCTCCAGCTCACACCCCTGTCTTCTGCTCGTCAACACCACTACACCTTCAACAGAGCCACAACTTTCCCACAGCAAGTTCTCTGTGCCAGAAATAAAACGCATTCTCATTCCACTCTGGCATCGCGTCTGACATCCCTGTAGCCTGTACTTACCTCACGTTCATTGCGCCATTCACTCTCCTTCAATTCCAGCTCCTCCCGGGCCCTCATCCAATCCGCCGTCAGCTTTCCAACATCTTCTTTAAGGGCTGAATTGACCTCATTCGCTTTATCGAGGCGCTCCCGCAGGAGACTGTTCACTTCGGCCAGATTCTCACACCTTGGAAAGGGAGAAACAGCAAAGAGGTCACTGAACAACTGCCATCCACAATTTCCATCTACAGTTTTCGTTTCCCTTTCCTCCTCAACTTTGATGATGCCCACAGTTAACGGCTTGCCTCCCCTTTGTGCTCTCTCATCGCTGGATGCATCACCTTTCTCTAGCATTGTCCCTAGATTGCATTGGCTCACCTACTGAGCCACAGAATAATTTAGGCTGGAAAGGGACCTTTGGAGGTCACCCGGAATAACCCCCCGCTCAAAACAGAGCCGTTCAGCACACAACACTCCTACTGCACCACAGAAAACAGACTGTGGACCTTTCTCGAGACTCTGCTTCAGGGAAACCTAGGGTCGAGCCTGAGGGGAGAGCAGGGGCCCGAGGGTGAGTGTGTGAGTGAGCGAGGAGTCGAAAAGGGGCACCCGTCAGCTCAGCGGAGCTGCCCGCTGCAAAGGGACTCCGGTCCTAGCAGTTAAAGTCTCGGGTGCTGTGCGTGCGGCTCCCTGAATGGTGTGTGAATGCTCGGGCAGCTGCTGCTCCTTAAACGCTCCGTTCAAAGCGGCTGGCCCAACCGCTTCCCTTGGGAAGACGAGGTAGCACTGACAGGTTCTCCCTCACTTCCATGACCATCCAGGATACCAGCTATGAGGGAACGCTTCTTCCTTGTACCTTTGCTGCTCCTCTTCCACCTGAAGCAGTGCTTTCTCCAGGCTGTGGTCTTCTGTGGCTTCCCACCTGCCTGGGAGGGATCCCTAAAGAAGAAAGGAAAGGTTTAGTCAAATTCTTGTGTTCCCTTCACTACTGCTAGCGTCCATCGCTTTCCCCTCCGCTGGTTGGGTATCTCAGGAGCTCGTGGCTTCTTCCAGGCATGACGGTGTCGTGACTACGCAGGGGAAGGGCGTTACTCAATGGGAGTAGCTCTCCTCAGTCTCCCGCTGTTGCACTCTCACAGCTCATGACCTCGAGTGCCCACTTCGACTTGAAGCCTGCAAACGCTCTCCTACTCTCCTGCCTTTTGTTTCCTAAGTTTACTTTAGCCGTGAAGCAGAAAGAAAAGCACAGGGCCAGCTCCGTATGTTGAACGCCAGCATGCTCGCCTTCCAAAATGCCATGTTTCAACCGATCCTTTTTCAGAGACAGCCATATAATGTAACAGACCTAGGACAAAATGTTACGCCAGCAATAAAGCACTCTTTCACAAAACTAAAATCCTTCTCGATAGGGTTTTCTGGACTGGCATTTCTGGGACTACTGGCTGCTCTAAGAACGCCAACGGGACAAAACACTGATGGGCAAACTTACGGCACTTCTTTAAACCCTCAGGCAGCAAAATCTTGGTTTCCTCTGTCATTGCTTTGGGCAGCTTTTTTTCCCAGCGTTAACGAAAGCTGCATACGCTATCTTTAGTTAGCAGCCTGCACACTCACCCCTCCTGCTTCCACTTGCTGCTCCAACTCTCGACACCAAGTCCGGTACTGCAGCACCTAGATGGATACGCAGAATGAAGATGAGCGAATGCAGCTTGTAACAGACTCACTAGCTTTTCGCTAAGTCTTTACAAGCCCAAGCACAGTACGTTTCACAGTGCTGCTGCTGATACAGTCAACAAGAAGTCCTTACGATATCGGGAAGCTTCACTTTATCTAACAGTAAGGAAAGCGAGACAGGGTTTCTTCTACACGTAGCGCTATCTGCTCATCCTAAGACAGCGATGGCAAGCAGAACGACGAGACAGACGTAGCCAGCCATGCCTGGCCAATGGCCACCAGGTACCCCAGATCATTAGTTCCTGCGGGCTAAAAGGCCAGTGGGTCGCTGAAGCTAGAGAAATGAGTTTTCAAAACTGCTTTTCAATATTTCGCAAGTAAAGTTAGTTCTGACCACAGTCCTGCTCAGCCACTGCAGAATGCGGATTTCTGTTCAGCTGCAGAAGACAAGCACGGGCCACAAAAGCAGGGTGCCCTCACCGCAGCGCCGTGACCACCGCCGGGCGCTGGGCCGGGCCCGGCACGGCCTGCCCCGACCCTCCGCCCAGCTCTGGCACCCTCCTCGCTGCCAGCGCTCCCGCGCCCCGGGCGAACCGGGCCGGCGCCGCCTCCGCCCGGGGCCGCCCCAAACCACCCCCGCCGCCCCGACTCCTGCCTCGGGGACAGCCCCCTGCTCACGTGGCCAAACGCGGGCGTTGGCGGGCCAGGCGCCTGTACTCTACTACGGGGAAGACCTAACGCGAGGCTCGGGAGGGTGGCGGCGGCACAGCGAGGCGCCCAGCGGGCCGGGCCGGGCCGGGCCGGGCCGGGCCGG